AGACCATTCAGTAAATTTCAGTGTCGACCTTTCGCAAGAAGGAGTGTTTATCGATAGATTTCATCGCATTGATCCCACAAAAACTTACAATCAACGCACCAACATTAGTCACCTCCGCTTCTCATAAAATCACGGCAAAATGCGGCATTCTCTGTCCAAAGACACTGGTTTTAAACGGAGAAACAGCTCCACGCCATACATTTCTTTGTAGCAACTTGCAATGTTTGCCCAGTTGCGATCCCATAATCCTGTGCGCTTAAATAAGTCTCCGATTACTGGAGACTCACCACCGGTCTTCCCCGTAAATCATTTTAATTTGTCCGCCTGCTGAGAAAGTACTGGCTGGAAAAATATGTATGGCAATAATGATCCTAATGAGATGGTAATCTGCCCCTATAACGATGCTCATCGTATTTCAGCAAAAAAATTTCCTTACCATTTGCCAAAGTGCCGAAAGGTAAGTGACGAAAGCATGGCCGCCCTCAGATGGAATGATTTGGAAAGGTCGTTTCAATATTAAACCTCTAACAGAAGTCTCTAAGAACACGAAGGCCTTCTTTCGGCTGCATCTGCTTTAAAAGTTGTATATTTCTTTTAGAAACGCTAAAAACACACACAAAAAACTGTTATGTCTAATTCGGTGCTTAAGTTTCAGTTTCATTCAATGGCTCTCTAATTTATTTAACTTATAAACGCTCATTACCGATATTGATCAAGCTAATTCTCTCCTCACGGAATGCATTAACTCCGTACTAGCGTTAGATAATTCAGGAAGAGGCCAGGCTCATGAAATTCCTGTCCGTTGCCAACGAATGTCAGAAACAATTCCTTTTTGGAACCGGAGCAACTACAGAATACAGGGCCATATTTTAAGGTCTTAAACAGAAGTGGCTTGGTGGCTTGCTAGTCATGACAAGTGTTTAAAGAACGAGAAAGATATAAGACATATAAGTACAAGACAGACATAGAAGGCATATATTTTAGTATGTACTATAGCAGATTATAGGTATATATTTTAGTGGCTCGGCGGCTTGGTGGCTCTTCAGTCGATGTTATGTAGTTTAGTGGCTCGACTGCTCGGTGGCTCGTTAGTCAGGACTACTGAGCCACCAAGCTACCCCAATGAATATACCCAGAAAACTTTCCCTGTATTCTGTAGTTAAGCCTTGGAACCTTCTCTTTTGTAAACGTTTGATGTTTGATTTTCTCTCATACAGTCGAAGCTCTCCTTGCGACCACTCTCGTAAGCAATCAGGTCTAGTTTATACGACCACCTTTGTGAAAACCCGTTTGAACTGTGACTTAAACTTTGCAATGAAAAGCTTGGGTAAATGATTGCTCCGGTGAGCCACCATGACCACTTTTGGGAGAGTCCAACTTTTGGTTGAGGGTTGAGGGTACCATTTCAAGGGTTCATTTTTTTAAAAGAAATTTTCACGAAGAGCACCAGACACACAAAAGTTCAGTTTTGATTACCGCTGACACAGAGTGTTGACAGATGCATTGTAATAAAAGTGCACTTGTAAGAGAAACTAGTCTAACCTTTCGTCGGTATTTACGAAAATATACGAAAGTGGGATTAGTGAGTAAGAAGCATCAGACTAGCCTGCGAAAACATCCGTTTCTCTTCGCTCTTCGTCGCTTGGGACGTTTCACGCGGAGGAACGTCTGCAACTCAGTGGCAAAAATTCCATACTGATGACGCAACTCAATGTTTACATAATAAATCGGGTAGTCATGGGATTCGAAATACAAATTTGTACAATTTTACGTGTCTTCTGGTTGATTTTGGTGAATTTTTGTGTTCATCTGCCAACGAGCTCCAGCAAAACTCAAATACTTCTTCTAGAGAAGAGTATATTCTACAAATATTGACTGTTTTGCTAGAGATTCTTCGCGTTTACATTTGACCTCTGTGGCCTTTTGTCTTTTGTCTGTCATTCGTAAACAAGAGCTAAAACAATGTAACTACTCCGTCGACCAATCATCGCTTCTAACCGGATTCTGGACAGATTTTACGTCATCAGTATGGAATTTCTGTCGCTGAGTGGTAGACGTTCCTCCTCGTGAAACGTCCTCAGCGGTGAAGAGCGAAGAGAAACGGATGTTTTCGCAGGCTAGCATCAGACATGCAAAAGTTCAGTTTTAAATAGCGCTGACCTAGGGAAGGAGTCCAACTTTTGGTCAAGTTATTTAACAAAAATACACTAAAAATAAATGCGCTTCTGACAGACAAATGACCTTTAACTCATTTTATCATATCCAAAGCCCTTACTAGGGGACTAGCTGGTCACCCAATGTATCTTTCAATCAGGTTGCTTGAAAAATGCTGTGAGAAAACAGCTGTATATATGTGTTTGTTGGGGAGGAGGGGGCTATTTAGTAATTTTTTTTTGCAAGAATTTTTTCTTTTTCTACCAACCGATGGCCTTGTGTGAATTTTTTGAGGGCATTGCCACTCCCTCCCCCAGTTTCTAATCATGGCAAACTAAAAGAGAAAATAACTAGTCACAGACTTTCGATTCCAAAAAACTGTCTCAGGAAATCTTATGAATGAAAGTCGCACAATTAATGAGAAATGAGTGGCAAATTTACGTCAACTGTGGTTGAGCTTTTCCACGTGTTGTGATGTTAGTGTTATGCGGAACGTACGAAATCATGTATTATTTGCTTTTTCTCATGAATCACGACAAATAAAAAAACTAAACACAGTTTATGATGATACTAGGAGACCATGAGGCAATGCATTTTACCAGACAGGGTGTTGCAGTGATGCAATTTTTTTCACAAAAAACAAGGCAAATTTTGTTAAAATAACAGTAACCTGGAAATGATTGGGCCATGAGTTAACTCTTTGATCTTGGATGTCATGTCTGCCATTTTGGGGTAGCAGGACTCGTTATTGGTTAATACAATAAGTATACTCTAAACACCAAAAATAAATCCCTTGAAAATCCAGAAACCTTTTTAACACATATATTATCAATTTTTGTATGTGTTAAAAAGATTTCAGGGATTTATTTTTGGTGTTTAAAGTATACTATTGCACTGGCTAATAACAAGTCCTGTTAAAGACACTAAAGCACAGTAAACCCTGGAAATATCGTGATTAGAGGGGACCATTAGAGGTTGGGGGAGGGACCGAAATCGCCCCTTAAAAAAAGAAAAATAATTGAAGGTAAAATCTTTCAGGAAAAATTCAGTGACCACCCCATGACCCCACAAGTGCAATGACTACCCCACAAATGTTTCAACCAGTGATTGAAACATGCATTACATGACAAGCTAGTCAGGGCTGCGGAAACACTCAATTACCAGCGATTGTTCGAGAAATTACCCCACGCTCCTCCTGAGAGAGCGGGAAATCAAGCCTAGGCTGTGGAGAAATGAGATAAAGGTCTCTTCTCTTGTCTTTCAGAAGTTTGTTTATTATTTTCAGTGTATTTTTTTTGAATACCTTGACCAAAGATTACACTCTTTTCTTTTGGAAGCAAACAGTTGATACAATGCCTCTATCAACACTCTGAGTCAGCGTTAATAACAAGTGAACTTTTGCGTGTCTGGCGCTTAAAAAATGCAAGAAAAGTTTTAAAAAATAGAAAACATAAAACGTGTACCCTATGTAGTATCCTCAACCCTCAACCCCTCGACGAAAAGTCGGACTCCTTTTGGGATTACCCAACTGGAATTTTTCTTTGTTTTTACTTTTTAAGCTTTCATAAGTGACCACTAAGAGTCTTATTCATATAAGTCAACACCTTAATGAAACTGCACATTGCACTAATGGTTTGTTGATTAAGATCTTGTACAGTGCAGTATTGTATGCAGGTTATTTCTATAGTGACCACTTGGCCTGCGTGGCAACAATTACTCACAGACCCTAACATACCCTTTATGAATTACTAATGAGGTTCTGAAGCTCTTGTAAGCGACCACCCTCTATTGCTTCAGCATGTGGTTGCTTTTGAGACCTCATTCTCGTAAGTGAACAGCGCCCAGGGACGGGACCCCGAGCTAACTACGGGGATTGTAAATGGGTGAAGAAAAGTTGAGAATTTTCTCCGGGGATGGAGAAATTTAACATAGCATGCATGTGGTCTGGGTCAAGTACTTCTCAACAACTGTCCCCTTGGGCCGATTTCCTAGAAAGATGGTTAAGCTTAACCCAGGATAAATGAAATTTTAAGCACAGTTTTCCTGCTAAGAGCATGTAACTCAAACTTACAAAATAGTGCTGAGCTTTTAGTCTGAGACACAGTAATAATTACTGTGTCTCAGACTAAAAGCTCAGCACTATTTTATACAAAATGTTTCTCTAAGCAATGCATAGGAAGGTAAATACAAAAAGTGGAACGAAATCTTTTTCCTGGATTAGTGCTAATCGGCCTTTCAGGAACTGGGCCCCGATATCTACCTCTTCTAACTGGGATTTAGGGGACTTTTTTGACAGTTGTTTGTGTTGTAACCTGTGTAGTTGGCTTGATTTCTTGCATGCAACTGTTATTAAAGACCACAAAAGCACCAGTGGATCTAACATTAGGCTGTAATGCCATGAGAAGAATGGACAAAAATTCCTTTCAGTTCACTTCCCCCTTCATTGATTCTCTTGCCTTGGCTGATGTGCTCCCTAAAGATTGTATAGTCAATGCTAATACTGTAAAATTCCGAAAATAAGCCCCGGGGCATATAATTATTCAAAGGCCTTTTTTGAGGGGCTTATTTTTGGGGCTTATATTCGGAGGGGCTTATCTATGGAGGGAAATTTGCGTTTCAAAATCAATTGGGCTAGCCTTGTAGTTGGAAGTAAATTTACCGTTTTTGCTTTGTTTTACTTTGTATTTGAGGGCAATTTTCCAAGTACAAGCCCCCGGGGTCTTATATTTGGAGGGGCGATTTAACGGAGGGTGTTTTGCGTTACCGGTTTTGGGGGCTTATATTTGGAGGGGCTTATTTTCGGAATTTTACGGTATATTGCAATACAACTGTTATTTTTCTTCTTC